GATTTTATCGATTATTTATTATAAAAAGTTTAAATTTTACTGCGTCACTCGTTTATAGTTAAACAACAAAGTTTATTTTTGAAGAATTCCAAAGAAAATTTAAAAGATGGGGAATTTTTAACAATTCTAGATTATTCTGAAAATTATTCCTTCATTTTACAAGATGAAGTTCAGGGATTTCATTGGAACAACGTGCAGGCCACTATACATCCATTTGTAGCATATTATAAATCTGGAGAAGATTTAAAAAATATAAATTTTGTTATTATATCCGAATCATTAAACCATAATACTAGTGCAGTCCACCTTTACCAAAAAAATTTATTAATTTCTTAACAGCCAAATTTAATTCTAAACCAGAAAAAATAATATATTTTTCAGATGGAGCCGCGTCTCAATACAAGAATCGCAAAAATTTTCTGAACATATGCCTTCATAAATACGATTTTAATATTCCTGCCGAATGGCATTTCTTTGCCACTGCTCACGGCAAAAATGCATGTGACGGTATCGGGGGAACTGTCAAAAGATTAGTTGCCAGAGCTAGTCTTCAAAAACCAAATAAAAATAAAATCCTAACCCCATTAGAATTATATAATTATGCTAAAGAAAATATTAATGGAATTCAATTTGAATATATATCCAATCAAGAATATATCGAAGGGGAATTAGCCCTTCGCAAAAGATTTAATTCTGCGCTGCCCATACATGGGACCTTAAAAATTCACGGGGTTATTCCCATTGATCAAAATAGACTAAAAACCAAAATATATTCAAATTCTAAAAAATATAATATAAAACAAGTTTCGTTTTTAAATGAAAAAATTATATTTAAAAATATTAATGGATATGTAACATGTGTATATGATGATAAATGGTGGTTAGGATATATAATCGATAAATATGATACAAATGAAGAAGTAAAAATCCGATTTTTACACCCTCGTGGACCTTCAGCCTCATTTAAATTTCCCCTGAAAGATGATATTTTAGTGTTACCTAAATCTCATATTCTTTCACTGGTCAATCCTTCTACTCCCACCGGTCGAACATATATATTATCTTCTGAAGAAATCTCACAAGCTAGCCAGGCTTTGTGTTCCTTTAGATGAAGTAAGATTTAATTAATTTATAAACTATCTTAATTAGGCTAAATTTGTGAAGATTTTAAAAATTTATGATCTGAATTACAAATAAATATATATAATGGGCATTGTAATCGATTTAGTATGATATATATACATTAAAATATTTTTAATCAATAAAAAAATGAATTTTAACATATTAAAACTATTATATATAGCGCCATCTATTTTTTTTAAAGTATAAAAATCGCAATAAATTTTAAAATAAATATCCAGCCATGCTAATTGTTGAAGAAATTATTAAAAAAATAGTAAACGGATAATATTTCTTAAAAAAATTAAAAATCGGAGATCATATACATTTCGAAATATTAATTTCAAGTTTTCAACTGACCATAAGATGACCCATATTTTATCAAAAATTAATTTTGATGTTTTTGCCATAATCATAAATTATTAACTTAGCTATTGATATTATATTCAATATTTGATCATATTTAGTTTAAAATTAAAAACTAGTTATTTAACATCAGTAAAAAGCAAAAAAAGACGTTTTTTAGACCTTTAACCCCGAATATCTCCGCTAATATAGTTGCTAATCCGCTAAAATTTTGTTTCTAATCTAATGGGAACATATATAACCAGCATACGATTTTTCATCAAAATCGAAAGGGGTCGGCCGAAAAGTGATTGATTTGACATGGAATGACCCATATCTAGGACGCGAAACACGACGTCCATCAGACCTCCTCCGGGAGAAATCGGTATCCCGCCCCACCCACTCCCCAATTCTCTCCGACATAAACAACGGTGATCTAATATGGGTTCGAACACCCCCAAACGTTACCAACTCAAAATGGGAAAAAGAAATCATAATTGACGTTCAAGGATCTGTCGTTTATTAGGAAACCACTAACAAAACCCAACGATACCATCGCCGAGATATCCGACCCCGATTGGAATCCCGAAAGCCAGGAAAAAGGGGAAGCACAGGAAGATTCAGCCACCAAGACTCCACTGAAGTACCTATTAGGTCCGAAACGCCTTCCCACCAGCGTCAACACCGATTCGAGACGTCGATCACTTACTTTCCCAAGGCCGTCGAAGATCCTGCCAAAATAAAAAATCACTCGATTCCCACAACTCCAGGCAATTCTTTTCCGGTAGACCACGTCCATCGTGTAGGGATGAAAAGAACCCTCAGATTCTCCAACCCGATTGGCGAACCGTAGCGTTTCTGAACGAGCAGACCCGACAATCTAAGGAGAACCCGCTAGTCCTTTTGAAACTCCTCCTCAGGGTAGCAGTATTTAAGCGGGGAGGAGAGTGGTGGTCTAACGAAACATCGTTTTTTGACATCATTCATCCCCTACCCCCCCTACCCCCTTTTATTTATGTACTTTACTTTTTGTTTTACACATTATTTATCCACCTCTCCTCCCTCTTCCCTTTTATTTGTGTATCATACATTATTTTTTTTTAAAAAAAATTAAATTATCATAGGAATATAAATCCGCCCTCGGCGGTTATGCGAAGGCCGTGTTATTTTTTTATAGAATTAAGGTAGGAATTATAGCCGCTCTGAACCGGCTTGGGCAGCATATGCCGTTTTTTTTGGTTATTGTGTAGGTGTTTAATTAAATTAATTAAAATCTGCCCTGACATCGCGGTGCGGCCTCATCACTCATTTTTGTTAGATGTTTTGTTTTTAAGTAAATGAGCTTAGGACTAATCACCGCTCTAATTCAGCGGTGCGGCGAAGGCTGTTCGTATTTGACATTTTTAAGTTAATGATGACGTAATTTGCCCTAACCCAGCGGTATGGTGAACGCTGTTTATTTTATTTATTTTGATAGATAAGATAGGAATTAAACCGCTCTGATTCGGCGGTACGGTATATGCCGTTCTTCCTTCTTGATTGTTGAATTCTTTAGTTCTGCAATACGCCCTGATCCGACGGTGCGGCGATAGCAATATTTAAGCGGGGAAGAGTGTTATGCTTATTTTATCTTTACTTCGTTTTAAATTATAAATAACTTGTTATATTTTTTTTACTTACAACTATATTATTCTTTCCTTTGTTTTACACGATTGTAAAATTATTATAGAGCTTGTTTTTATATGATATTCACTTGAAACTGGTCCTAGCCAGTTTTAAGGATGGCCAATACACATATATTCTTTATAAAAATTCTTTAATAGATTTTTTTTGGTAAAATATATATTCATGATCCATATTTATTTTATTTTAAAGAATTATGATTCCTTTTTTATTTCGTGAAAATTTGATTTTAACCTATATGGAATAAATCGTTTGTTAGTTTTTCGTTTTACGGCGACCACCGTTTTATTAACCTAATATAATTCGCTTTTATCTATAACCAACGTATGTTTAATAAAATGATGTTTTCCTTTCGGGACGACCCGCGACGGGAGTTGGATGCGATGACAAAAAACCCAGGTCCTGTCCCCCTGTCCCAATCTCTGACAATCCCAGACCATCATGCTCCGTCGATCCCTCCCCCTCCCTGATGGTGGAACAGCCAATGATTGTGGCTCCATTTCAAAATGTTTAAAAGTAAACTAGTTTTCCTAAACGATTCCTAAGTTTGGAATACACTCCATATGATGAAAATACTTTACTGAAGCTGTAGATTGTTTCATTAAAATGGTCCTGCTAAGCTGATTTTTTTTATATTATTTCATCTGAAGTAACTTTGTTAAACGAGTCAGTATAGCTTGGAATTTTACCATAATTGATAGATAAGAGATTGGTTGAAGATAAAATTAGTTACGTTCCATTTCCACTTCGGTTTCATTGTTTGTTAAATTTGAAACATATTTGGGGGGCTAGAAGATAGGAGAAGAAATGTGTCTGTGAAAGTATTATAATAATGTTGATTTTTATATTGATGGATTATAAAAACAACCATATAATAAAAATTAAATGATAAACTAATATAGATATAATTAATTTTTTTATTTTACTAAATAAACAACATTTTTAAAATGATTAGATTGCTTATTTGATTTGTGGAATATTTTGTTATAAATAATTGATTTATCTTCAGAAAAGGGGAATAACCCATATTTATCTTAATGTAACTTAAAAACTAGCCTTTATTAGAAAAAGGGAGGAGAGGGAGAATTTTAAAAATGTTAATTTTTGAAACATACTAAACAATTGCCACAAAACTAATAATAAAGATTATTTTAAATTAAGGATATAACGAACATTTTAAATTTGGCTAATGCATCAAGACACCCAATTAGGAAATAACATTAGATATATTAAAAATAATCCGCCATTATTTTTTTAGTCAAAAAAATAAAATTTTTAAATTTGGTTTAAAATTTTTAGTTGAGGATATTCATAAACAGTATTCATCTTAGAAAATCAATGATTTTCTTTCCGACTCACTGATATCGACTATTTAAATTTTCTTAAACAGTTTGCGCATATCATCGAGTTTTTGATTGACAGTCAGCTTTTCATTTAACAAAATATCAAATTAGCCCATGATTTATCAAGATATATTTTTCCAATAATTACCTGGCAGAATCTCCTGAATCATTAACTTTTTGCTTACAAGGAAATATTATACTAAGGTAAAGAAAAATTATTTTATATGATATTTTCAATCTAAATCTGTAACTTCTATAAAATATTAGTATTTAATAAAATAAAATCATGTTTAAATAAAAATAATCGATTTTTTAAATTTTTTCAAAAAATTTACATATTTAACCAACCTTAATAGATTTATACTTGAAACGAATTTTAAAAAATTTTGTTCTATATTTATATTTTTGTTAAAACCAAAAATAATGAATTCCCCCTACCCTTTCCTTAAAAATTTCTCCATCCATCCCTTAATGACCATATTATATTATAGTAGTTCCTATTTTATATAGGTTAAATGGATGATGTATTGGATAGTATTTGCTCTTTTTACATGTGTAGAAACATTTGCCGATGTTATATTATCATTTTGGTAAATATTTTATTATACAAGCTATAAAAAATGAAATAGTATAATTATATCGTATAATAACAATATGTATTTTTTTTTCACTAGGATGCCTCTGTATTATGAAATAAAAATTTTATTTTTATTCTGGTTACTCTCTCCTTGGACGAAGGGCTCCAGTTGCTTATATCGGAAATTTGTACATCCTGAACTTTCTAGAAGAGAAAAGGTTTTATCTTATCATATTTATACCAGGCCTGTAGAGGTATCATCGCCCCTACACAGGTTTATATTTTTAACTCGGCCCTGGATTTTAAAATGTAATAATTTGCAACCGTTTTTTAAAATTTTTCTTAATAATTTTGGTCGTTATAATTGCTTCAAAGAAAAATCGAAAATATCCTTAATCTAAATTTTTAACCCGTTAATTGATATAATTTAAGTTTAATTTTCTTACTCAACAGGGATTTGATCCAGATCTTTATTATATTAAGATACTATTAGATTGGTATTATGTCATTATATCCAAGTTATTATAAGAAGTATCCTGCTAACAATTATATCCTGTTTTGAATATAAAGGAAATAGACGATCTTGTGGCCAAAGCAAGAGCTCAAGGCTATTCTACTCTTGTCAATTATGGGGCGAAAGGTTTAACTTTAGCTTCAAAATTTGTGGCTGAAATTGCTCTTAAAGTATTTACATGTATATAATTATTGCTAGACATTTTTAGTCTTAAAATAAGACCCGTTTCTAGCTCTTTAAGGGGCAAACAAAAAGAAGGGGTTAGGGCAGTAAAGAAAATAGACAAAAAAAATATAATTTTGATCAAATTTGCTAGATGGAAGATTAGAATTGATTTATATCTGAGAAGAAATAAAATGATTTAATAATTTTACCAATATTAGATGACAATAACAATGTTGATTTAGTTTAATTAGATGCAAATTTAATTTTTTTTAAATATTCAATTTATTATTCACATTATAAATAATTAATTATAATTTTAAAATATTAATTGATTTTTTTAAAAAAAGCAGCTAATTTTAGTTACTACTCGAAAAATGTAGCGACGCTATTTAGGTACTTTTTTATAAAAGTAGCATCGACATTTAAAAAGTTAACGTGCTACAGATACTACACTTCTTTTATAGCTACTTTAACAGCCCATAAATTTTCACACTAAAATCTGGACTATTATCTTAAAAGAACAAAAGAAATAATTTAATATTACATCCTTAAATTTTCATACTAAAAATAAGGGCTGTTATTTAAAAAACAAAAGAAAGAATTTAATTCATTGGAAAATATTATTAAAATTATAGGTAAAAAAAAATCTGTATTCTATTTAAATATTTTTAAAATTGAAATTACTTTTTTTTGAAAAGCAGGAATGGGTATTTATAATAGCTACAATTCAGTCTAATTTTTAATTCACTTTGACTCATTTGGGGGCAGGGAAATCTTACATTTAAACGATGCGCGGACGGGAAGAGAATTAGGGACGTTATCTCATTAGGTGCGTCGGCTAGCATTGGGTTTGGCGGAATGGCTTTGACCATTTTCAATAGAGGAAGGAGTTGGTAATAAATCATTGTCGATCAACTAACGTAAAATATGTGTAAAGTAAAAAGATTTTTATCCTCAAACAACGTCCTTTTATAGGTTTTTCGATTGATTATGTGATCTAATACTAATAGCCAATCACAACATCGAGAAAAGGGTACGATCGTTATGTGTGCTTTCTTATTGGCCAATTCAATGTCTTAGAATTGGGGCAACTCCCTTAACTACACACAAATATCAATGTAATAGAAAATATGGTCATACAAATAAACCTTTGTTCGAAAAAATGAAAGTAATTAAGTTTATCACTTTCGATTATATATTATATGAATAGTTAATTATGCTACAACAAAGGAGGGGATGAAAATTATACACACACGTTTCTATCCACTAGTAAACTTGACCCAAGTTAATCCATAATATAAATGCATGACGATTAAAATTTATAACTCAAATAAAAATAATTATTATCCATTAACGTAAAATAAGTGCAAAGTAAAAATATGTCCTTATCCACCCCGTCCTTATGCAGATTTTTAGTACTAATAATTATAGCTTTTCACAACATCGAGAAAAGGGCAGAATCGTTATCTATGCTTTCTTATCGTCCAATCCGAACGCAACCCCTATGCTCATTCAAAATAACAAGATTTATTCAAATAATGAAAGCAATTAAAATTGTTTATCGTTTTCGGTTTATATAGTTATTTAATTTATTAACAAAGAAGGGGTTAGGTTTCTATCTACCCTTCAATTAATACCTTGGATTTGATATATAATTGTTGGTGTAGTTTTGTTAAACAGCTCGTTTTGAGCCAATTTTTAACGGCTACAATATTTTAGCTAGAAAAATATTGCCTAAGCCTCAAGATTTCGATAATTATATGTCTAGACCTTTGTTTCTTTTATGAGCAAAATCTTCAGGCTTGGGAAATTTTTTTCTGGATGAAGTATTTATTTAGCCGTTTTAAAAAATCGGCTCAAAACGAGTCTTTTGACAACACTAGCATGGTGCTTTATACGTCTAATGGATCCAATGTTAAAAGGTTGTCTCCCTTTTGGTTACTTATATCCGGGTTTTGCTTGATCGCCGGTCAGGTAATCATTAGCTCATGGGTTTCCCCGTATTTTGGAAATGGTTGTGGTATATATTGGGAGCCGCTTGTGGAGTCTTATGGTTTGCTGTGTTGTTATGGTTATTATTACTATGATTTGTTATGAGGTTTAAGTGATTTATACTCTTATACCATTGACGTGCTTAGTTCGAGTGTTTCCACGAGCTGTACCTTGGATCTAGTATAGTATGAATAGTTGTTATTATTATTTTTATATTATTCAAGGGCAATTCACACCAGATCCAAATTGTCTAGATAAGAAATTATTCTAACTTGAACCTAGGTGACAATACTGCTCTATAAGTGCATCCTCAAAATCTGTTATCGACTCTTTTGCTGGAGATGTTTTGATGATAAGATTATGATAATCTCCACCATTTGCAGGTCCAAGTATTTGCCTCGGTGCGAATCTTGTTTTTCTTAGTTAGTTATATATTATAGATCCGCACTTTTGCCAAAATTTCCTCTTTACTTAGGTTTTTATTTATTTTAGACATATCAGGTTTTCCCCAGTAGCTTCGTCTTTTTCGGATGGTCCGGATCATTGTAGTTGCTGTGCCATATTTACTTTTCATAGAATGAGATATTTTGTTTATTTACTTTCAGTCCTACTAAAATAAAAAAGTGACAGATGCACAATTACGGCTTCCAAGTTTTTGAGGATATATTGGGAAAATTTACATATTAATTTTTACAGACCAAACCAAAATTTATAAAAACCATAAATATTTCTTATTCATTCAAGCTTAAAATAGGAGAGGAATTAAACAAATGGGAGTCAAATGGATAATTTAAAAAGGAGATAGTTCCTGGGGATCACGATCACCAATTGTGTCGATACTAAACCCGCACCGATCTTTTCACTTGGACTATAAAAACGGTAAATTACAAACTGAATGTTATCCACCAAGAATTGAGGGCATATTTGGCACCCTACTAGGAGGAACGATGTTTTTCATAATGTATTTAAAAGAAGCGTATATACAAATACCAGTCGATTATTAAAAAAAGTAAGATTCAAACAATTAGTACTCACTCAGGACTATTCCGTTTTAACCTCCTGCCGTTTGGAATATTAGCCACTCCCATTATCTTTAAATGCATAAATGATATGATAACATCTGGAGTAAATACAAAGGTTACATATTTGGACGATATTTTATTGACCTGAAGTACACCCGAGGAACATACCTTAAGTGTTAATTGTTTAATCGTCTGCTAGACTTCAACCTAAGAGTAAATATAAAGAAATATAAAATTAGACAACCGTCGGTAGAATACTTAGGCCACATAATAAATGCAAACGGTCTATCGCTATGTCCCAAAAATAAGGAAGCAATTTTAAAATATCCCTTTCCAAAAACAAAAACAAAATCTTTTATTGGTTACGCCATATACTATTCAAAATTTATTCCGATATTTCAATTGCGACACTACGGATACCTTTTAATTAGAATAAAGCAGCGGAACGCAGTTATGAACCTATTAAAGAAATTTTAACATCTAAAATTTTGTGCCATTATAACTTAGAAACCAAGCTCATCCTCACCTACAAGGTCTCCTACTATGGAGTGGGAGCAGTTTTATGAGACCTATAACCTATGCTTCGAGAACTTTATCCAATGCAGAAATAAATTATTCAACTATAGAAAAAGAGGCTTAGCATTCCAAAGATTTCTGTCATTCAACCAGGTCGTTCCGTTCATAATAATAACCGATAATAAACCACTCATAGATGGGATAATAATAGGCATACTAACAATGGCGTCTGAAAGATTACAACGCTGGATATTTATTCTGTCATGTTTTATGATCAACATTAGCCATAAACCAGGCCACAAAATATACGAAGTAGAACACAATCAAAAACAAAAGTTATACCACCGTCGTTCGAGAAAGCGTCAAACCTCCAACTCTCCATAATTTGTTCAGGATAAACATGCATCAAGGCCAGGAGAAGAGATTGATTTCAGAAATATATTAGACCTATCAAAAAGTCTATTAACGCCATGCAACATATCAGATAATACAGTCTTACAATCTGAAGGAGACTATAATCGCCCTTACCACATACAAAGACCCTTCACCCAGTTCCTTTACACCTTTTCCCTATATGTACTTAATATCAATCCCCGACCGAAATAGATCGATAACCCTCCAATACTCCAGATAAAAGATTGAAATACATAGAGAGGTCTATCGGCTCATATTATCTGAAAACAAGCACACCACATACAACCGCAACATCATTTGATCAAAAAATAAACATTAACACAAATAATTTAAAAAAATTTTTAACATATATATACATAGACATGTGCGCCGCCAATCGTGATTTTTGACGACGCCGTCGCCAAAAAGTGTCGGCGCTCAACACGCCGCCTCTTTTAGAATTGGTTATCATAAGTCATTAGCTACGAAACATTAATCTATTCATAAAAATAATCTGGAACAACAAGACTATTTAACTAGTCTAGAAAAATAGTGTTATTCATTATTTTCACCTTGTAATTTAGAGAAAAAAGATGTCTTAGATTTTTGGAAGATAAGAGCATCGGATCTTCCTAAACTTTCAATATTAGCTAGAAAGTTCCTGTGCGTTTCAGCTATAAACACATCCAGCGAGCGTGTATTTTCTATAGCTGAGCTCACTCTGAACTCTAATATTATTATTATATCCTATAAATCTAAATAAAATAATATTTATACATGATAATTATAGTTATAAATATAATAAAGCATCAATTTTATTTTAAAAGTGATTCCAATGAATTTATAATTCAATTAAAAATTTAAGCTAGAAAAATATTTGACACCGCAGCGCCGCCGCCAGCCGATCGTTTTAAAAAAAAGAAACGCCGTCGCCGATAATGCTCTCGGCGCACATGTCTATATATACATAAGCAATACAAATTGCCTTTACACTTTTACTTATACCTTAGTTTACAAAATTATTAAAATAAACTGTAGGGCAATTATAATTTTGCCCGACATGAAAAATACTAACGAAGGAGGAAAGTTGTTCCCAGCTCCACCTTAATTTTGTTTAAATTTCGCATATTTATACTTTTTATATGTCATATAATATAACAAGTTTTTTGTCCTTCCCCGACCCCCCCCCCCACTCCCACGTGGTAAGTTATGTTCTTATCTGGCCACAGCCACTCCGGCGGAAAGATTCTCATATCACTCCAGGCGCCTCCTCCCACCTCTCTTCCCCTTAAGTTAATTCTTGCTGGGGGGAGGAGGTGTTTTGTCTACAACAATATGGTTTTTGTTAAACTAAAGTAATTATATTTCGTAATTACCCTCTCCTTCGTTATCAAATATTTAACTAACTATATAAATTGAAAGTGATAAAAATTTTATTTGCTTTCATTATTCAAACAAAGGTTGTTATTCTGTATGACCATATTTTCTATCACATTAATATTTGTGGGTTACGCTAATTCTAAGAAATGGGATTGGCGGTAAAAAAAAACACTAACGATCACAACTTTTCTCGATATTGTAATTGGCTATTAATATTAACACACATAATCGATATAAAAACTTATATAAGAACGGGATTGTTTGTTCTTTTACTTTGCACTTATTTTACGTTCTAACTATTTTATAATAATTTTATTTTTGAGTTGTAAATTTTAATCGTCTTATAAATCTATATTGAGGTAAATTAGGCCAGTTTATTATTGAATAGAAATATGTGCTACTTTAGATTATCTCATAAAATAAAGGATAGAACCTTTCTATATTGATATGTGATGTGTCTTCTTTTATGTGGAAATTATTTTAGACCAACCTTAATTCCAATAGGTTCTTTCATCTCCAAACGAAACTAACTTAAGGGAAGGATATTATTGACATGCATCACCTAATTATTTTAGGTCTTACTTCTTACTCAGATGAGAGATAGCCGGCGCATTTCTGTGACTAAAATACTCCCTTCCACGTCCCGTACTGTCTTGCATAATAGTGGTTCGAGCTTAATATTAATTGGGCGCTCTTAAAAACTACAATCATATAATAAAGGTTAACATTTTACCAAATAGTCTTAGCATATTTAAAATAAATAGTATTTAAAACAATAGTTATAATATTTTAAAGAACCAAGGCCATGCCCTAAGTTGGCTTAATTTGAATACTTAAGCTTTTTAGTATAGGCTAAAAAGTATTTGATCGGGGGCACCCTATTTTGGATTTTAAGTATTTGGGAGGCATTGCTATTTTTTTATGTTCAATGCTCTTTTTTTGGTTATATTTTGTTTTTTTTATTTTTTCTTTTGATTTTTTGGCTATTTAGCTGAAAGACGACCAAATAGCCGGTTATCATGTATTAAGCCAGGCCTTGTCTTGGTCGGTTTGGATACTTAATTGCTATTTAGTATATGCTATAAGTTTTTTGAACTAGGACAGCCTATTTTGGTTTGTTTTCAGTACGAACAAGTTCATATTTTTTAAAAAAGTATACTTAAAAGCGATTGAAACAATTTTTTTTTGAATATGACTTAATTGTTCGTGATTTATGTTTAAATAGGGAGAAAATTGAATAGTAAATAAAATAATTGTAGAATAAAATGTTATTCTGTTTAGTAATAGAAGTACTGAATATAATAAACATTTTTGTAATAAGTAAATTTCTATGCACAAATAGACATAAATGTATTTATATTAATAAAAAGTATTTACATTATTACATCCCAATGGTGTAATAAGTAGAAACAACAAATTGGATTATTATTTTTTTCTAAAAAAAAAATTTCAGCCTATATCCGGTTTTTATATTTTAAAGCCCGGCACGGATTTTTTAAGAAAAAATTTTCAGGCCCTCTCTAGATTTTTATAATATATTATATTTATTTTTAATTTTTATAGCTAATAATGGCAATTTAAAATATCCGGCCCGGGTATTTTTAAAAAAATATTTTTCCGGCCCGGCCTGGGTATTTTTTTAAAAAAATCAGGTGGCCCAGGTATATTTATAAAATGTACCCAGGCCGGGCTTAGGTCCGGGTCTGTAGGTTTCTGATTTATAATATATAAAATTAAAACCAATTAACTAATACCATGCCTAGTCAGGACTCGTGATCGTGAAAAGCAATCCGAGGTCTAAGAGTATAATATCTTGTAAAATGAAATTTTTTTATGTTTTTTTAAAAAAAATGAATTTGACATAATATTAAAATAATAAGAGAACTATAATTTTTTTTAAATTTAATTAGTATTGTTAATGCTAGTTAGATTATTGGAGATATAATTTTGTAAAAATTCACTATACTATTTACTTTCGATGATAAAATGCTCATCTATAATTTGTTGCATTGTTTTAAAAATATAAGACTAAATTAAGTCGTTACTTATTAAATATATTTCATTCATAATTTTCATTCCAAATTAAAAATTATAATTTATATACATTTCTATTTATTTTTGAATAAAAAAGAGCACCTTTTAGTTAAGGTCTAATAAAATTAATATTATTTATGTATTTTTTTCGTAACAAATAAATATTATAGTTTCATTTAGATGCCCTGTTGGTTGGAGATTTACAAAGGCGTTTTATTAATGTGACATGTCCATCACAATTGTTTTTTGTTGAAATTTTTAGATTTTTAAATTATTATTGTTCGAAAAAAAAAAGATAGAGTTTAAACATGAAACTAAATGGCCAAGGCTATACCAGATCTGTCTAGATTATATGGTTAAAAGATATAAAACTTTTTATTTATTTTAAAAAATGATAAAGCAATAAAATATTAAAACAAATATATAAAAATATGTAAAATTACTAAATAAAAATAAATACATATATTATAAGTATCGAAGGCTCTAAAAGAACCTAATTTAATAATGAATATGCACCTAATAAACAAGTATAATTGTGTTTAAAAATTTCTAGTTGAAGTATTTGTTTAAGAAATAAGAATTCGCGATTTTCGTTTGTTATGTTAAAAATTTTTCGTGATAAAGTTTTTTAAAAAAAATATGACTGTGAAAAATTTCCATTAGTTGATATGACTATTGCCTGAAAAATAAAGTTATTTAATTTTGAATATTTATTAATTTTTTTTATTTCCCCACAAGTAAGAAGGTTTGAATTAATTGATGAAGGAAAGGAGGATACTCAGTTAATTAAAAAACCAAAAGATATAAAACAAAAATCGAGCGTTGCCAAATATTTAAAAAAATTTCAAGTTTACATTATAAAAATTATCGTCGTTTACTATTTTTAATTTTATTTATGATTTATATGTAATTTATTATATTTTTGTTTATAATAACCAATATTCTCTTCTTTTTTTCTCAGCAGTGACCCATTTTTTTATAACTTAAATAGAAGTATATGTTTGAATTGACATGATAAAGGATGCTTTTAAAATTCATTTAATAAATTATTAAATGACATAAAATTCTATAAATATATATAGATGAATAATTAAATCTTTAATTATATTCTAAATATGATTGTACCATTTATGCAATATAAATCTGTAAGATATACAATATATAATCAAGAAAAACTGGCTTTATACTCTACAGTATATTTGCATTTTGCTCATCTAAAATAGAATTTAAACATGAATAAACTCAGGCGCGTACGCAGGAATTTGGTCTGGAGGGAGGGGGGATAATAAAATTTTCAAGAAATATTATTGTTATTTAAAAATATCAAGCATAAATTTATTAGGACTAATAACTATTTCTAATAGAGATTTGCGAAGTTAGGCCCGGCCCGAACGGGCTTCGGGGGGGGGGGGTCTAATTTTATTTAAAATAATCGGGTTCGGGCCGGGCCTAATATTTTTAAAAAAAATTCTGGCCGGGTCGGGTTGGACTTTCGAAATTTTTTTAAATATATCTAAATTTATCAATTTTATATTGAATTTTTTTATGTAAAAAATATTTGATTTTATATATTGAAACTAAACGACATATAACATATGTCTTTTATTTTGAGTAATTATAAAAATTAATTTCTATATTTAAATAAATTCCGGCCTGGTCGGTAAATTTTTTTTAAAAAATTTTGGATTCGGGCCGGGCCGGCAAAACTTTTTTAAAAAAATATCGTGTTCGGGCCGGGCCGCTTTTTTAAAAAAAATTACGGGCCGGGCTTGAGAATTTAGGCCCGTTGCAGATCACTAATTTCTAATACACAATTTTAAATTAATGTGAATTATAAAAAAATTATTTATATAAACCGGCATATAAAAAACTATAAAATAATTGTAATTTAAAAAATATTAAATGGATATATCTGGCGCCATATGAGAAAATATAAAATAAATGTGAATTATAAAATATAGTGAATATAACCACCATTTAAATGATCCAAAATAGAAATTTGAAATTTTTGAGCCTTTGAAATTTATATATAAAGTATAAAAAATTTAAATGTTAGAAATATAAATTAATACACAAATAGCTTAGGGAATAATTGTATTTTGTATGTTATATATTTACAATGTAAAATCCAATCTTCGTTGGGATTGAGCTAATTTTTTAATTATCCAATCCTTGCTTGGCGTCAAATGCCTATGAATATTCAAAAGATCCAAACCATTCAATCTACTTTCAAAAGTTGTACTTCTAAGGTATGTTTTTCAGAGACGTACAGGCCCGGCCCCCTTGCCGGACCATATTTTAATTTTTTTTAATATACCTGGGCCGGGCCAGAATTTTTTTTAAAAAAAATATCCGGGCCAGCAGTATGTTTTAAAACCAAATATTTGAAATCGCTTATTAGCTATAAAAATCTAAAAAATATAATTTATTTTTAAAAAATCCGGGCCGAAAAAAAAATACAAGCCGTGCCCTGCAAATGGTACCTCTGCAGGGCTGTTATTCTTCTTAAAAAAAGTGAATATTCTTTCATTAGTTTACTAATGAGAAGAGTTGCTAATCTATATATAACCATTTTAATACATTGAGATTGGGAATATAATCTAAAATGTGTTTGAAATAATACAAAACATCCATAGCATTTTTTGGGACTATATCAAGCATAGTTAATCTTTTGAAGTTATTCATCTAATAAGGCATCATAAGATACTTTAACATCTTCATGATAAAAATCTAACAAATATTTTATTTTTTTCTATTACCATCTGAAAAAGGTTGAGAAGGCTTTGTTGTAATATCTGCAGATTGGTAAGTGCTGCTTGATGAATTAAAAACCATTCATTTATTTGGCCTATAAATGTATCTAAGAGAGGAGACATTTGTTTTATAATACTCTTCTACTGATCTTATATTAATGAGTGACGATAGGGAGACAAATATTAAACACGTATAGCTCTGCTTTTGACTCAACAATAACATAAAATATGAAATTCTTCATCAACATTAGCCCTAATTTCTGTGAATTCTAATAAAATGCTCTCTGCTATTCTCATCTTCTTAATCAAGTCAATGTTATGTTTTTGAAAAATATACATAAAATAGTTGTATAATTAAATAATACATTCTAATAAAATTTGGAATAAGTATTGAATCCAATAATTTTCTTGCTTCTTAGGAAATATTTATTTTAGGCCATTGTGATATTTCAGGAATAGCATTAATAATCGGCTCTTCTAACTCCGTAAAAGCTGTGTTACTGCTTAATGGCGGAGACTCCGTCCGTTGGACAAGCTTGCAATTTCTTTCTCCCTGTTGAACAAGAAGTTTCAGAAATTTTGACTAGAAATTTGAAAATAATAGGTAAATATTACGCTAAGGAAAACTTGAAATTGAAATTAATTGATATAGTAGTGATAAATAAATTGTAATTAAATATATATTTAATATATAGGAATAAATATTAACAAATATAAATTAATATAAACAATAATATTTTTACAAAATATATCCGGCATCTGCATTTTTGGCAGGGGGTGGAGGGGGATTTGTCCCCCTGTTCCCCCCGCTGCGTACGCGCCTGAATATACTATTTGCCTATTCTATATTGATATGTACAATCGTTATTTAGAAAATTAGATGAGTGGCATGTTTAAATTAGTTGCTTTTAACTTTTTGACTATTTAGTTGATACTTTTAAAAATTGGGTGCACGAATATGACGTCATCCAGTCTTCGTGATTGAATCTAATTCCATTCAAGTTGTCTTTTTTGAAATTGATAAAATCTATGTTTTTAAAGTTCTTCGATATAATAATGTTTGCTAATAATATTAGAGAAAGAATATGGTGAAAAATATGTAAAGGTACTTAATGATATAAAATATCTGGATAACAAATATAAAAAATTTAAATTTTTAATAGAAAATTCATTTTTTTATTAAATGTAACTTATTTAAATTTAAGGTAAAACACGTTTTTTGCCATAATATTTTTTATTTTTCATATTAGTAAAATCCTTTTAAAAAAATCCATAAATTTTAATAACAAAATTAATTTAACTCTTAAATGTTAAAACTATTATGTCATGGTTTAATGACCTATGTATAGATATAAGAGACATGCAGGACAGGCCTGGTTACACGGGCCGGGCCGTATTTTAATTTTTTAAATATACCCAGTCCGGGCTGGCCTAAAAATATTTTTAAATACCCGCAAAGGGCCTGAAATTTTTTTTTTAAAAAAAAATACCCTGGCTAGGCCGTATATTTTAAAACCAAATATTTTAAATCGCTATTATTAGCTATAAAAATTAAAAATATGATATATTTTAAAAAAATCAAAGCTAGCCCGAGCCTGAAAATATAAAACCTGGGTCGAAAATTTTTTAAAGAAAATCTGGGCTGGGCCGTGTTAATGGTACCTTGAAGTCTGATAGATATACTGTTGATCGGCATTCAATCGATATTCTTTGTTGCAAATCCTCTTTTGGATCACCTGTTTAAACATAACTCCCCTATTGTTTTGAATAATTTTAGGGCTTGAGGTCCAAATAATCCACAGGTGTCTGCAACTACTGGACCGAGCCATAGATTATTTAGTAGTTGGGTAATTATTATATATTTAACTGTGTAACCCTCAACACGTGGGGCCATAGGGCCCCAAGCATGCTTAAATTATAGACTTATATTAACATAGAGTGTTCAACATTCAATTTTATATTGTTATTTTATTCGTTCTCACTTTTCTTACTAACTAATTTCTTACTAAATATACTCTTATTTACATTAATAAAACAAAAACTTTAAAAATTAAACAAATTTATAATTCTTTTATTTATTCATTTAACATAAATTTTAAATTAAAATCCAATAATAATTAATATTAACAAAATCTATCATTATTTAATCTCCGACCAATCAACACTATGCAATATTATTGATTGACGGTTGCTTTTTAATATATTAAAAATATTGTAAAATTACGTACTGGGACATGCCATTCTTTTATGGGGATGTGTCATTCACCCATGGAAAAAATATTGTATTTAATATCAATTAAATATTTAAACAATATAGTTGTATATTATACATACGATACATAAGATATTACAAAATACTTTAAATAATTAAACTGAGAGGATTTTCCCATATCATATCTATGCTTATGAGTAGTATTGATATTATGAGAGTAATTGCTATGGTATCGTCCTTCTGCGTCAATGAAATATTTGTCGAGTGTTCCTAAACTGGCTAAACAGTTACGCTACATTGGAGTATTCGTTGGCATGGACACTGAATTATCGATTTGGTTATACATACATAGTTTGAGAGGACGGCCATATTGCTCTATTATATGTCCCGCAGACTTACCACTGTAACACTTTTTTTCTTAACCATTGACGATTTATTTATGGAATTATTGAATTTCCATGTTGACATTCTCTAGAATCTAGGTCACATAATATTAATTAAAATCAATCAAATGGGGCGGGGTTTGCATGGTAGCATGATATACAAGATCGATTTTATTAACAAATTTAATTAAAAAATTTTTATATTAATCATTGTGTAAAAAAATATATAAATTATTTATTTAATAATTAACAATTAGAAATGTGATGTATTACAATTTTTTTTATCAAAAATTTTTTTTTTTACAAAACTAAAATACAAAGAGATATATTAACTGATTACAGTGTTGTGAAGATTTAATTCAAAACATTTCCATATTTATTAAATTAATTTATAAATAAAATTATTTGATTTGCAAAAAATTATTAAAATAACATATTTATATATTCTTATCAATTTTTACAAGTTAAATAATTTTATTTATAAACGAATTAAAAAATATGGAAATGTTTTGAATTAAATCTGCACAACACTATAAATTAAATGATGCCTTTATAATTTGTTGTCGTATCACACATGTTAGATATCTTTCACTGATATTACATTGAGAAATTAACCACAACACATTTGTTTTAACAATTATTATCATTAAGAAATGTTTCTTCACTAATTTAACATTTATTATTATCAGTGTTCCTCATTGATCATTTACATTAATTAAGAAATGTTTCACAACGATCATTTAAGTTAATTAAGATAACAGTTTTTTTTATATATATCTAATAATAATTTCATATTTATTATAATTCACTTATTTTAATGTGGTCATTGTGGCGGATCACCTTGGTTCCGTCTTCAAACTCTATGCGCTTCAATTGTGCACCCACATTTTCTATTATATTACCAACGAGCCCATATATTTTGTCCACACTAAATCTAACCCTTTGGTTTACCTGGATTATTTTTCTTTAACTTTAAAAAATCCAACGAAACATTTGTTCTTCAGCCTAGAAACAATTTCGAAGGAGTGATACCTCTCGGTTGCGAGAGTTAAGATAATACAACTGAGACATATAAATATGTTTTCCAGCCTTTTTGAGCCAATTTTTAACAATTTCTACCATCCTCGGAGCTTGTCCATTCGAGCTGGGATGTTACGGTGGAACAAGAATGTGTTTTGTCTGTAACTCAGCACAAAACTGTTTGAAATCATCACTTATGAAGGCTGGACGTCCATCAGACACGATTGTATCCGGCAACCGAATCGGACCCATAATTCCTGTAATTTACTAATAACAATTTTTGTGGTATATCCATGTACCTCTGCATATTCTATCCACTTTAAATATGAATCAAACACTAGAAAGTATGATTATTTATCGAAATCGGAAAAATCAACGTGGACCCTTATCCAAGGTCTAATTGATTTGATCCAACTACTGCCTATTAAGGGGCATAGCGGCAGACGAATTACAGGGAATACATTTCCTTGTTTTTTCAATATCATTACTGATACTAGGCAACCATCGAGCCCAAGATTTCATTTTATACCAACCCTGATGTCCGCCATGTAATAAATCTATAATTTTACTACGTAATTTAAAAGAATCTACTGCCCTATTTCCTCGCATAATAAAATCATCCACCACGGACAATTCTTTTTCAATTTTTTATAAATTTTACAGTTATTTTTCCACGGTTTTCTCCGTTTATTTGATCTGGCGCAATTCCTTATCTTTTAAAGTATCGAGTTTAAGATCTTCCCAATTAGTAGGACCTCTTCTTGACATATGGGAAAGAGAACAAACCAATGATTTCTCCTTATTCATTACTTTATTCATATTTAAATCGAGATCTTCTTCACTCGATCTCAACCTGGATAAAATATCAGGCAAACAATTTTCTTTGCCTCGACGATATCTAATTTCCACATTAAAATTTCCCACTAATAACAATCAACGTTGTAATCGTGGAGATAACATTAATTCTCAATTATCCTTTTTGAATAATGAATTAATGGATTATGATCATTACAATTTTTTTATAAGTATTTACGACATTTGATTAAACCAAAAATAACCGTTAACGCTTCCTGTTCAATAACATAATATCTAGTTTAAACTTTATATAAAACTCTCAATAAAAAATAATAACCCGCATCCGACACCTTTATTAGATGCATCTACGGCCTAGATTATTTCTAAATCGTTATTAAAACACACTAAATCGGTTCTTCACTAATTTTTTTCTTCAATATTTCGAAAGCACTTTTTCAATTTTCCACTCAAAATGAACAAATTTCTTTAATAAATCATATAATGGAGATGCCACTTTTCAAAATTCTCCACAGAATGATGATAATAATTTACGATGCTCAAAAAGGACTGCACCTCACAGCTTTACTCTTTAGCTGATTCATATTTAATATATACAATTTCGGTTTAACCAAGAACACTTTTTTCTTTGCTGGCTCTTAAGCCTTTATCACGAATTCTCTTAACTTCCTCAAGACACTGATTATGCTGCTCTGGTGTCACCCCTGTTATCAGCACATCATCCATATAATAAAATACACCTTCCAATTTAATTCGATTATACATTGTTTATAGTAAGATTGAGATTAATGTTATATATAATGAATTCTAAAATTATTTACCTTCTAAAGAAGAGGACCTTTCAAATTAAAATAGAAAAACGCTTTAGAATAATTATTTTATATAGGAAGATGTAAGGGAATCTGATTATATTTTTAAAATAAATGAATAGCTAAGAATAAAATAATAACATTAAGCAGTATTTTAATTAAAGGATCTGATTTATTTTTAGGAAATATTTTTAATATCGGATTGGGGGAATTTTACCTTTTTTTGGTCATTAACAAATAATTCGAATTGATACTTTTTTGTATAGTATAAAATTTTAAATAAATACATTACATAGGTTTACTTTAAATTAAAAAAAATCTTTGCTGATCTCTTACAACAATAGTTATATGATTATATACATTTTAATTTTACTTAGGGGCAATATACCTTAATGAATCAATTGAAAAAAAGTCAAAGTCTAAATGACATATCGCCACATTACCCACTACAATATTATAACCAAGATAATGGGCATGGTTCTGTTAAAAATAATTTGTATTTTTTAAATGAATCCATGATGGATGATGATATGGCTGATGAAAACGAGTACATCGACGATAGATTTAACGGGGTCATTACTTTAAATGACCGATCAGCGCGATTTTCCAAGCCAGATAACACGATTTTAGAAGAGGGTAATTAATTTTCTACCATAAATTTGAATACATTGATGATTATTATAATAAAAAGTGTTATAAATTTTTACTAACTTAAGAATAACTTTGATTCATTTAAAATATTAAATAATTTTAAATTTAGTTTCTAACCTCTATAAATAAAGATTATATCTGTACAGAATCGTAGGCCTATGAACCGAATTAAATCTCCAGAACCTGCTCTTAAAAGATTTAGGAACCGAACAGAACCCCCTTTAATCCAGCAAAAAGTTCTAACAAAAAATTTACAGGGTTTCTTATACAGAAAAGTGTAAAAAAAAACACAAAGGTCCTATCAAAAAAGGAAAAGTACGAAAGGTTTAGGAAAAGGTTCGATCAAAAAATGAAAAGTCTTAGGAGAAAAGGAAAAGGTTTAATCAAAAAAAGGTACTAAAGGCTTAGGAAAAGATTCCATCAAAAAAGGGAAAATGTTTATCAAAGAAGGAAAATATCCTATCAAAAAGGAAAAGTATCAATCAAAAAAGGAAAATTTCCATTCATAAAAGTTAAATCGTTATTTTTTATATATATATATTTAAAAATAATTTTTTTGTGATAAACCTGTAATATGATTTTTCTTAAATTTTTGCTTATTTTAATTTTTAATTTCCCTTTATATTTTATTCTAACTTTTTACGATCTCTTTAGCTCATTTTTATTTTTCTCGATTTTTTTAATTTTTTTCTTCTCATTTTTTTATTATTCTTTAAAAATTCTCTTTCCCTTTTTAAAAAGGCTAATAAAAATGTACAATAAATGAAGAATGAATTATACTATCATTGCTGCACTTACTCTAGCAGGATATTCAGAATCAAGAGTCATAATGGACCCTTCAATTACTTCTTTCCCATTCATTTAGGAAGAGTCTCAATCAGAAAAGGAAAAAATCTGATCAAAAAAGGAAAAGGTTCAATCAAAATAGAGAGAGTACCAAGGGCTTGGGAAAAATCCGATCAAAAAGGAAAAGACTCAGTTGAAAAAGAAAAGGCTCAATGATCAAAAAAGAAAAAAGAGAAATTGTTATCTTTTTTATATTTAAAATGTTTAATATCATTTTTATAACTATGAAATATTTATTTTTTCTTAAAATGTTGGTTGCATTTTTTTAAATTAAGTGCAGCTGAAAAATGTCACTCTACCGGGATGCCACAATAACTTTGATGGTGACATATATTTAGACCTCCCCCCCCTACCTCCAGGAAATTTTTGCCATAACCACATCACCACAAAAATTTATCGTTGTTCGGCGCGCCGCCATTGTTTTTTACATTAATGGTGGAGAGGCTTAAGGAATTGATAAATTTAAATAAAGTTTAGAAATCATCAAAATTTTATAAAAATTCTATTTTATTAATTTAATTACTTAACGTATTTTAAATTTGAAATATTTATTTACAAGAACAGGAAATTTTTGGACCCACCCCTCTTGGTTACTACAATTATACCTAGTCAATATATTCAGTTACTGGACTCAGCGTTAAAGATTTGCCCCCTCCCACCTCTAAATTATATTGACTAACATACAATCTACTACTGAAATCCCAAATAATTATATATTTATTACTATATAATGTTCATTTTATTAGCATATTTTAATTTATATATTAAAATGAAAATTAAAACATATTTTAAATTATATATAACTGAAAATTAAAATATATTTAAATATATATATAACTAACTTCACATGCAATTAAAAAGGCGCGAGCATGCGTTTTTTTATTCATGCGATGTGTACTCTATTTTTCCCGTTATAATATGTATTTTTAATTTAAACACATTTCATTTTTTAAAATATCTTACTAATCTAGTTTTTATTATGAACAAATAGTAAAATAGATTTTTTTAAAAATTTGAAGAAACTAATAAGGAAAATTCAATAACAATTATTGTTATACACGATATTATATTTGAAGGGATACCAATAAAATTTTGGAATATTTCAATTTACCATCTTCAATAAAACAGAAGTAGAATTATTGTTACTAATTCTAATAAAGAAATTAGAATAAAATATATGAATTATTTTATTAATGATGGATGTTATATAAATATTTGCACTAATATTATAATGTATTTATATTGATTGATCAATATTTTGAAATTATAATAAAACATTAGAATTTTCAATAATTCATATAATATTTTTTATAATATTTCGTTTCTATAAATTATACATTGAAGAGAAATCTTTTTTAAAAGCTTTTAATAAAATTTATTATTTCGTCCTCCTTTTCTAGTATATTTTTCTTAATCATTTTCAATTTCTCCTGTTCTAATTCTAAATTTTTTGCATTATAGGTTTTATTTTGTTTTCTTTGATTAGGAATTTGAATAGTGGGATTAACCTAAAATAAAATGTTATTTTATTAAATGTTAACATTCTATTTCCTTGCACTATCACTTAAAACATTGATAATTAGAATTAGATGGTAATAAATTCTGAATTATTGAAATGACAAATTTATATTATGCAATTAATTTTACTGCATTTCCATATTCAATTTCTGACAATATTTATCTACATCTGGTCTGTAAATTTTTATTAAAATAAAATTTATATTAATATAAAATTTTTATTCCCTTTTCTTCAATGGATGCATCCTCACTATGACTTAAATCTACATTGAAAGTGCTTAAAAATGAATCTACTTTCTTTTAAATCCAGAGCCTGAAGTTCTCTTTTTTCTTCCCTAACATATGTGTAAGCTTTTATATTTTAATTTAGCCTCTAATACTAATTGTTAATATAACCTAACCTGAAATATTCTTTATAGCTATTTCTTGAAACTTTTTTTCCCTTCTAAATTTATTTTTATGCTTATCACTACTTATATTCCATATATTTTGAAATGCCTTATATCTTCAATAAAGTTTTCAATATTAAATAGATGTTATAACATTTATTTACCCATCATATAATTTTTTCAAATTAAAATTGCTGCTTAAAATGATTAATTTGGTTCCCGTTCTAAATCGCCAAAAATTGGGAATCTCCCTTATCTCCTAGAAAATTTTTAAGTAAATTTGAAATTAATATTAATAGATGCTAGGGGAGTAAACACATATAATTAAGTTGAGAATTTTAAAGAAATCGCAAAAAATGGAGGAAATATCATCCAAATTCCCAAATTGGTAATCAAATTGGGAGCAATGATAATATTTCCACTTTTTTTCTGATAAATCAACTTAAATACAAGCTTACACCATAGCATCCAATATTAATTTTATTTCCAACTTTTAGCGATTTAGAACCTATCCCACGAATTTACGAAAATGAACTTTGGCAAAAAAATGCTATTTTTAATACGAGAATATTTGCTAAGACCACTCATGCCTTTTTATATTGTTTTCAAAGTTTGCTAAAATTAAATGTGCGAATATGCTAATTTTTAATTGCCTACCAAGACATAGCTTTTTAAAATTAAAAATATTGAAAATAAGAAAATATAATTACAATCATAAAAATAAGACGACTATTAGTACCTGGAAGATTAATAACATATCAACGATATAAAAGTTTCTTAAATTCAAAATTAAAATACTTATTTAAATTATTTACAAAACAATATTGTACCATATAATTGAGATCCGAATCTAATTTCCCTCAGAATTTTTTTCCTTAATTGCCAGAATTTAAAATAGTGAAAGCTAAAAAAATGTTATAACGAATTTTATTGATCCTCTGTAAAGTTTAAAGTACAATCTAAGTATAATAAAGTATTAACGGAAACTAGTTTATTATTATATTATTGCTTAATTAATATAATAACAAGATTTTTATAATATTAAGTATTGCTAAAAGGCTAATTTTTAAAATAAACAAAATTTTCGTATCCTGTTTCCGGTTCAGTCTAAATTTGCAAATGGAAAGAAGGGTGCTAAGCATAGGCATTGCCAAGATTTTGTTAATAGGTAGGGTTTCTTTTTGTTTATAATGATCGGACCTTTTCCTTCTTGATTGACCCTTTTCTTTTTTTTATTGAGACTTTCCTTTTTTTAGATGGGAAATCCTGTTCAATAGTTTTTTATTTTAATGTCCAACTATATATATTTCAGGTGCCTTACATTTAAAAAAATTGGGTCAACCAATCGTAGTAAAAAATTGGAGCCGGACGGGTAAAAATTTGACCTGGCCGAGCTTAAAATATTTGCCATTTGCAGACCTTTACATGTTCAAATTTCAATTCAACACATATTTGATAAGTTCTATTTGGAACACCTACAACAAAATTTTTCTATAAGTTTAATAACAATTTACTCATAAAAATATTCAATTGAAGTCTCATAAAGACTTTAACTTAGGTTGTTCCTTCCAAGCAAGATAAAAAAATTATTCTGCATATAAATATGCCAAAAAAATAGACAATCTAAATTATCTTTAATATTAATTAATATATATTATAGAAAATGATGCTTTCTCCTGTTTTATCAGAATAAAATAATTATTTTTCTGTGATAAGAACAAAGCAATTTGGAATTTAACCTCATAAAAATGTGTCAAATTTTATTTTTGAACTCAAAATTTTAGGTTGGGTCTTAAATAAAAATTTTTAGCCAGGCCTTATAATTAATTTTTAAAATTTATAGACACCTGAATTAGCAAGGAAAAAAGGAAATCGAAATCCAAAATAGTAAAAAAAAATGTAATCAAAATTAATAAAACCTACCTTCTCTACCACCCTTTAATTTCATAGACGATCTTTCGTCATATCCCCTTCCCCTGCCTGATACAATATATGTCGATTTTATATGTACTCTCTACCTGGGTCGGGCCTATTTTTTAAAAATAATTATAGCTCAGGCTGACTCGGGCCTAAAATTTTTTAAATAAATTCTAATCGGATCAGGTTAAATTTTTAAATATGATATTCAATTTGTGAAATAAATGAATATATTATAGCATTATTGCAGGAAACAAGACACCAATATTTTTGATTTGTAGGCTATTTTTTTACATTTAAAAATAATTTATATGTTTGAATAAATTCGGGCCGTGTCGGGTGGACAAATGATTTTTATTTTAGGTCGGTCGGGCTTTTCTGAACAAATAAAAAAGTTCGTTCGAAATCGGGCCTGGCTTGAAAAATTAGCCTCGATATAGATAACTAGTTAAAATATCTAATTTACAATAAAAAAGTATGATGATATTTGCCAATAATATAAATATTAAAAAGAATTATAAAATTGAATTATCTAATTTGTATACAACGATAAAGTTGGTATGCCAGATATAAAATAACGAATATTAATTTTAAAATATAAGATATATTGGGAAAGAAATAAATACGGCTAAATCTATACAACAAAAATAATATGATTGAATAGTGATTTTTTAAATAAAAATATAAAAAAGTATATATCTTTTGTCAATGAAATGAAAAGAATACAAGATTCTTTTGATAAATTTATTTAAATGTAATAAGACCCACTTATTACTTAACATATATTAACGGAAACACGTGGCTGAATTCGATCTCCAATATATCACCCCGCTCCCCACCCCAAGGACGGAACCACCAAATTGGATTAAGAAAATAACACGATCTTTGTTAGGATTCGAACCCAGAACGGATTGACAACGATGCTCCTGCCGACTAGGCCACTCACGCTTTCCAAAAATCACTATTTTTCAAATATATATTATAAATAAATTTAGCAGTATACCTATCCAAATGAAAAATAAACAAAATACAGGTAGTACTATCATTAACCAAAAAATACAAGATATAAAATAATCATGCTAACAATTATTATATGTTTTCTAATGAATAAAAGTGTTTTATTAATTTTTCCATGAAAATTTGGCATTACAATTTTTTACAGCTATATATTGGTTTTAGTAATATTTGCTTAAAATGTTATAAAAATTGGTAAGTCTTATTTTTTTTTACAAGAATTTTAAACTTTAGAATGGGGTTAAAAGGCCCCACATTAAAAAATGAAATTATTTTTAAAATATTCAGTGTATAAAATTTATTTTGTACAGAGATATTAATTGTTCATTAGAATCGTGAACAATTTTTGCACAGCTTCTTAATTTTAAAATATAAATATAGAAGGAGGAAACATTGACAATAGAAAAAGTTTTGATGAATATGAAGAGGAAGTGGATTCCATTTTAGCTTCTAGAAAAAAAATCAACAAAACTCACATGACAAGGAGAATGAAACCCTTGATTACTCATAATACCCGTAATAAACAAATTCCAGATGATCAGGTTATTTGTGACATCTCATAAACGTATTTTTTAATTTATTTTATAGATCTCTTATGCAACTATTCCTAGAGCTGTCAAAAGAGGTAAAACGCGCAAACCGCTTCTTGATGACCACAAGAAATTTCACGAAGAAGACAAAATTAATTGTTGAAGAACATGTTCCTGAGTTTTTGTGTATTTTTCCAAATTATGTAAAAAGTAATATTTCATACAAAATTATACTTCAAAATACAAAAATCATTTTTATATATTGAATCATGAGCCTTTTTTATTTCATCTAAGTGCTTTGTATAATTCAAATGTTCAATGTCTTTGCAATTTGATATAAATTATTTGTAAATTTGTCTTTATGTTAGAAATATAAAATATTTTTAAAAATTAATTAATGAGACAGTGTTGTGATGATTTAATGAAACATATTGACGATTAAATTAAAACCATCTAAAATATTTTGTTTGCAAAAATAATTAAAATATAGACAAAACATTATTGAAAATTCTTTTATTCATCCTTGTGTTATTTTAATTATTTTTGCAAACAAAATATTTTTATATGGATGGTTTTATTTAATCGTCAACATGTTTCATTAAATCATCACAACACTGTAAGTCTTTATTTTATTTGTGCGCAGAATTTAAAAATGTATGCTAAATAAAATTATTAAAACTAATATTGTAAAAATGCTTTTATTTTCAATATTCTCAATAATACAAAAATGGTTTCTATTTCCTATATTCTTCCTTATTCCAAATATCAATACCAAAAGAAAAATCATATAAACAAAAGAATGAATCATTCCAAACAGTACATATAGAAAATCATATTAAAAACACAGAATAGCTTTTTATAAAAAAATTACAAATAATATCCAAATTGATTGACATTTCTTATAATATATTTTTTTATTTATATTATTTAATTTTTTTAGTTTTAAAAAAACAATAATTGCATATTTTTATGCCCCACCTAATAGAAGCGAAAGATCAGGCTTTATTGATATAATGTTAAACATTATTTACTTCCTACCAAGTAGATATATTATAATAATTTTAGGTGATCTAAACATGAAGATCGGTAAAGAAGTAGACTATATCAGCAGCAATGTCATTGGAGACGCCACTATACAGCAACCAAATAGTGAAGATAGCAAGAAATTCCTCGATTTTTGCAGAAACAAAAATTTCAAAATTGAAAACACTTTCCTTTATCACCGCGAAATAAACACCTATGCTTTTGTGAGAGCTCAGGCAGAACACACAAATCGATTTCTTCATATCCAATATTCACCGATGGTTCGATGATGTCAAGGCATCAACCAATATAAATCTGTCAGATCATAAAATGCTCATAGCTAATATCACCATAAAAATATAAAAGGTTATAATAGTAGCAGACCAACTTCTATGAGATCTAATACTAATCCTCTGAAAATAAACTTTACACGCAAACTCAGTAAAGTACAAACGCCGGAAGATAAAATACTTCTTGACATAACATTGAATAAGACAAGAGCTAACTCTCTGAATGTATCCATGCACGGAAATATAGAAAAATGCTGGAAATTATTCAAAAGAGGTCTTCCTAATGTAAATCATGGAAAGAATGAATGTCTAGTGAAACTTTGGAAAAAATAAATCAACTAAAAATGGAGAATGGTCTGAATAGTGACTTATGGAAGAACATTCAAAGATTACTACGAAGTGACAGACGGATTTACATTGCGAAAAAAGCCTTATTGATAAAGACATGAAAGAGAGCAGGATTTATGACGCTTATAGAAAATTAAAATTTTTCTGTAAACCTTGCAGTTTTAAGAAACTCCCCTCTATTGTTTTAGGATTAATGACCAAGATGAACAAATAGCTCTATGGCTTGATTACATGACGGTCTTTGACTCACGTAGAGACTATTAGTGATCTGCATCGGGCCTAATTTTTCAAGCCCGGCCCGAACCCGAAATTTTTTTGAAAAAGTTTTGCCGGCCCTACCCGAACCCGATTTTTTTAAAAAAAAAATTTACCGACCCGGCTTGGCCCGAATTTATTTAAATATAGAAATTAATTTTTATAAACTCAAAATAAAAGGCATATTATGTCGCTTAGTTTCAATAAATAAAATCCAATATTTTTATTTTACCTAAAAAATTCAATATAAAATTGATAAATTTAGATATATTTTAAAAAATTTCCAAGTTCTGACCCGGCCCGAATTTTTTTAAAAAATATTAGGCCCGGCCCGAACCCGATTATTTTAAATAAAATTAAGCCAGAAGCCCGTTTGGGCCGGGCCTAACTTTGCAGATCTCTGGCAACTATACCAACAAGCTTAAATACAAACCTTGCCCCACCCCCATCTGGTTTTTTCATGAATGAAATATCTAATGTAATCAAGAAACTACGGAAAAACAAAGCGCCGGGCTAGATAATATTATAGCAGAATACCTGAAAATATCACCTTTGACAATATCGTCCTTGTTATTGATCCTCTTCAACAAAATATGGGAGAGTGGAAACACTACAAATCCTTCCTATGCAACTTCCCTAAAATTAAAGACCACTAAAATTTACAGATTATCGAGCCATAGACCTAACATCCTGTGTCTCAAAGATCTTTATGGCCCTCCTAAAAAATAGAATCATGTCATCTTCACCGCATCTATTCCCCAAATATATTTGCGCGCACAGGATGAAAACATACTGGAGCCAATATTAGCCCCAAAATAAGTACAGAAATGTTGTAAATATAAAATACCTGCCTACTTCACATTTGTAGATTTTAGCAGAGCCTTCGATAATGTTAACCATGATGCACTATGGGAAACGCTGTCAGATGTGGGATTGAACCCAATATTATTCTCATCCTAAAAAATCACTATTCAAAATTGGTCGCGTGTTTCAAAATAAATGATAGAATATCCCCTTCCTTCAGAATAAAAAAAGGATTAAAACAAGGATGCAATGAACAAAGTCATAAAAGAAGTACTGGATGCTGCTGATCTAATAGATTTTGGGTCTAATGATACTATACGTTTTGCAACAGAATAATATTATACACAGATGACAAAGACGTAATCTCCAAGAGTATAGACGAAACCATAAACTTACTCTACTTACTAGAGATTTTGAGTCAAAGAGTCGGACTAGCAATAAATTTCAACAAAACCTTTATTCTCCCCTCCCCTAACGCACTACCGCTAGAAAATCTTACATTTGGAGGAAATCTAGTTAAAATCGTGGACAAAATACAGTACTTTAGTGTAACGTTAGATAACAAAGGCAGTTACAAAGAAGAAATGATTATTAGAATACAAAAGGCGAGGGGTGCCTTATATATATATGGAAATATGGAAAACCAAAGAGATATCAGTGTTCACCAGAATAAGAATCTTTAACTCAACAATAATCCCATTATTATTTTTTGGTGGAGATTAGTGGGAAATAAATAAAACAGAAACAGGAGATTGCAATCCTTCATAAATAATTGCCTCTGGACAATCAATGGTATCTCAAACCCAAATCTTTGGAAAAAGTCAAATCATACTCCAATTAACATAACATTAAAAAAAACGTTGAATTCAGTTCCTAGCCCACATAATAATTTGATCACAATCTAGTACACGATGCCAAACATGGCTTTACACAGAAACAGTATACGAAATACAAGTCACTATGGTACTACAAAACTATAAAAGATGTGATGGAACTAAATATTAACATGAAACAATTTATAAAACTAAACAACTGTAAGAAATCTATCAAAAAACTGTTTTGCATTAAAGAGAGATATTTAAAATGAAAACTAGCTGTCCAAACTTCGTTCAAATTGTAAAATTATTATCAAACACATCCCAAGTCAATTTCAATTACTAAGACAATTTACTATAAAGTTTTAGTTTTCAAAGGATACTATATTTTTAAATTCTGGATTTTCATGGTATATTTCAAAATTTTCTTCAAAAAATTTTCTCAAAACCATTTTTAAACACTTACATAGAGATATCTTAAACTTAAAATTTATCCACCCTCCCACTTTTAAATTAATTAAATTATACTGCAGTTCTTGGGTATAGGCTTTTTTTTGCCCCACTCCTTTTTACATTAAGCCTATAGACGTTTAAACAACTTTTTTCAAAATGTGCATACAGGTACTTGCGGCTTGCCCACAAACGTGTGGAGGGCTCTTCATATCTTTACTTTTACACCCAAATTAAATTTTTGTAATTAGATGGAAATGAGTAAAACCTAGCGTAGCTCTGTTGAACTTTCAACTCTAGAGGGCAAAAGCACTATTTAATTTCCATTTTAAACACCTGCAACACTCAAGAAATATATAAACAATTATAAAAAAACAGAAAACTTATTTTTAAAAGAAAATATATTTCCCTAAAAAGAGTGATTTCTTAACAAATTAGACCTGCATATTTTCGAGATCGGAGGTAGAATTTCTCATTGAGGTTACTATTAAATATTCTATTTTTTAACAAGGACCTTGATGGGATTAAGTGCCTCACAGTGACTATTGGTATCAAAACCGTGTTTATTAGGTCGTTTTATTAATTTTTTAAACTATTCTTTTCGATAGCAGAAAATGAGAGGTTAGACTTCGCTGCAAGTCAATGCAAATGCAGTCTTAGGTCAGCTGTAGACCATTAATTAAAGAAACTTTCTTTCTTTAGAGATAGGCCATAGGGCGGATCCGTTGGTTCGAGAGCGAATGGGATACTAAATTTTTTAGGGCAGCTAAAAGGATGTTGCTAATGAATTTGTAAGGGAGTTTATATCCGCGACAGAACTTGTAGTGTAAACATGGGTGTCGTTAGCTAGGTGCTAAAGTAGCTAATTTTGAAAAATGGATTAGCAGACAATTTATATATAATTAGCCCATTAAAACAAATACATTTTATTTAAATAGCTTTCTTACGAAATTTTAAGGCTTATTTTAAATAAAATATTTATTTCGCCTTAAGCAAAATTAAAATGGTGAAAAATCAAAATATATTATATGAAAAAATGGTATATAATCTATAATTAGGTATTAATCGATTTGAGCCGATTTATAAAAACAGCTATCCCCAGAAAAATGTAAACCTCGAGATTTTGCTAATAGATAACTGAACCTTTGTCATCTATGACGAAAGTCTTACGGTTTGCTTAATATTTTTCTGGATAAAATACTGAATTAACCGTTTTAAAAATCGGCTCAAATCAAGCTATTAATAACAAGTTATTGTTGTATAAATTATATTATTAAATAATCCTATACATAAAAACAATACTTTAACATAGTATAAAGGTTATATTCAATATTCATCCATTTATGCGCTAATTTTTTGGGTATATAAAATATGCATATTTTCCATTTAATTTAATGTTCTTTTAGAATCAGTCCCGTTTTAATTCGGAAAAGTTATTAAAACTAA